CCTTAATATTATAATAGATCATTATAATAAATTATGACAAAAAAAATTAACATACTACTTTAACAGGACAAATCGAAAAAAAGGGAGAAGACTTATGTCAATAGTGTAATAGACTGGACGGTGTTGGCAACTTAAACTACGGCGGCGGCGATGGAAACCCGCTGGACTGCAAGTGCAACGGCCAGAACGATGGCGGCTGACCAGTTGTGATCGGCCAACAGGATTTTGAGGTGAAAATTCGGTGAAACGCCCAACTGCAGGATCGACCAATACGTAAATTTTCGAACCCGTTCACCGGTCGAGTTTGAAAGGCTGGACGTCGATATAAAATGGCGTATTTTGCACGTGCCTACAGCGGCCAATTTTGAGGGGTGGAAAATGTCTTAAGGTTGTACTTAAAAAAAATGAGGATAATATAATGTTCAATGCGAGCGCTACATTCTAAAATATTATGGAATGAATTATTTTAGCACCCCTAATTTTACACCTAATGTATACGCGCCTATGTGAACTATAGGTATATTATGTCATTTTAAAATCTAAAGAAAAGGAAAATTTAAGAAAAATGCTTTGCCAATCTATTTGAATGTAATACTAGATGGAAAAGATTCATTAACTGCTGATTATTAGTACACAATTTAATTGAAATTTTTTTATTTAGAACAATATTAATCTATACTTTAAATTTACAGTATATAATCCATGACCATGACATATCAATAACTATATAAAAACACTTGATAACTATATCAGTGCATAGTAAAACACAATTTGTTGACAATTATTAAGTGTTATAAGTGTAGGTATAATTTTGACTTTTTATACTGGTGAAAATGAAAGTCTATATTATTATAAATCTACTATACACAACTCTTTTATCGGTGATTGTTTTTGCAGCTTATTATGTATCCTCGTAAGTTCAAAATTAGTTTTAAATTGCAACTTATACAATTTAATTTCAGTTCAATATCATTTTTTTTATTGACAGGAAAACATAATATTATGTAAATTCAAAATATAAAATAGTTTTTGGAGGACACAAAACTTTTGGTAAGAAATAATAATAAATTAGAAATTATAATATAATAATGCATGTCTGCATATAACATAGACTATTTCATTATAAAGGTTAACAAATTCAACTAGAAACTTTATTTTGTGACTTAATACAAGTTTAAAACATTTTTTATCACGCCTTTTAGAAAGTTCAACTTTGGATGCCGGTTGAAGCTTATTGGAAAAGATACTTTTCCTCGTGGTGGTCAATAAATGTTTTTAATTACCCAGCAGGCAGAAAACTTACAATCTAAATTAAATTTACATACATGAACTTATATCGACAAGTTTTGTCAGTTATATCAAATACTAGCTGAAATACTAACCTAACCTAACGTCAAGAACCAGAGTTGGGAAAAATGTTATCTAGATAACTTTTCGAATAATAATTTTAAAATATTATAATTCGAATAAAATAGTACATTGTGTGGCAAGGGCGGGAAGTGAGCTATTTCAGTCGAGAGCGACGATAGTCAGTAAAATTTAATACTTGCAATCAGACCAGCATTAAGATGCCTTATGACCACTAGATTCTAAGGAACATTTTATAGGCAACTTCATGTGCATTCGCCTATCGACCATATTATTGCCATCTTGTTAGTTGTAAACAATCATTAGTGTAAGTGTATACTTTTATGGTTTAGGTACAAATAACCATGAATAAATTACATTTAAGTTATTTAAAATAATACCTTAATATTTTTTTAAATATTAAAACCACATTGATTACACTTTTAAGAACGTAAATAAAAAATATGACTATTATTAATTCTCTTGTACATATTAGGGAAAGTTGAAATATTTTTTTAGAATTAAAATATCTGTTGGAATTAGATTGTGCTGATTTTTCTGAAAAATACTATAGTTGCGAGGCATCTCGAAGGGGTGAAAATCATGGCCTTGGACGCAAAAATGTTAATTTTTATCCTTATAAATTATAATCGCAACAGGTGGTTTATTTTATTGAATTTGAAGTTGTATAATAATATGTAGGTACATCAAACTAAAAATTTATCAAATTTTCAAAACATAATATTATAAGGTCTCTATATTTTTTAACCATGTTATGTAATATAATTTATAGGTAGTTAGTATAAGCTATAAAGTACCATTATCTATAACTTTGGAGTGTGGATACATTGTTACAAATTACAACGTAATACTATTTAATAGTTACTATACCATTTTTGTTCCTCTGAGAAAATCTAATGGAACATTATCTGTTCGAAAGTAGATAATAGTGGAAGTCTTATTAGGTAACTAGAATGTATAGTAGGTATTATCACTTATTGTTATATATAATTCCTAATATCTACTATTAATTACCCAATACCTAATGTTATCGACAAATTAACCATAGGTAAACAGGTATACTACACTCCTATGAAACAGATAGAACAGTTAGGAAAATCTAGATAGCGAAAACAATAATAATTAATAACAGTTCATTATGATTTAATATACTATTGATAGGTTCATATCGACCTCTCCGCTGGCTCTTCATTTCCCGCCATTGCCACACATGGATGTGATATTTGAATTCAATGATAAACGAAAAACGATTCTAAGCTTGTGTCATACTTGTATAAATAATCAAGTTTAATAGTTAAAAAAGCGGGTAAGTGGGTCACTGTAAATTGATGGTATTAAATTTGAATTTATTGATATAATAATATCATTGTATACGAAAAAAGATTCTGAGCGGAGACAGTTTGTCAGTTTAGGATATTTTATATTAAGTATATATATATATATATATATATATATATAAATTGTTATTATTGTAGTTGGTACTTGTTGAAGGACGAAGGTCAAAATTGAAAATTTCAAGTAATTTAAGAAAGCGTCAAGAAAAACAAAAAAAATTTTAAAAAAAACAGTAGTTAGTAATAATTACTAATTTGAATTCAATTTTTGAAAAATTATCACGAAATATTTATTATAGCATTTTCAATGAATGGTAACATTTTCAATTAGCCCTCCTGATTAAGATTTAACCCCCCCCCCCCCCAAAAAAAAAAAAAAATAAAATATATAATTTATTGATTTAAATATAAGATCCCTGTGGGTAATTTTAAATAAATAGTTTTGTTCCCCGCCCAGAATTTTAACCATAGTTCAGCATATGGGACTAGCTTACATTGGACTTCAAAATAAAAAGATCCAAATTACATTGAGAATATGTATTATATATGTACTTTAAGCTTCAAAAATATTAAATAATGGATGATAATGTAAATTGGATATAATTGATTGTTGGAATTATCAAAAATTGAACTTATATATAGAATAAATACTCTTGTAACCTTTTACATTATTTTTACTATCTTACATTTAATGACAAAATTTTTTAGTACATAAATTAGATATTTGTCAGTTAAAAATTTTAAGAAAAATAAAATTGAACAAGCTTTGCCAAACTATTTGAATATAATATGAATATTGAATATATATTATACATATATTATTGTAGCACAAGATGTGCAATATTTCAAGCAATAGAATTGCTTTATTATTACGCAACGACTAGTTATAATTTTTCTCCGGTGTATTGTGTTAAATTTTAGAATTTCATATAATTTACGAAACACTTGATGACTGACGTACAAACTGTCAGTTATTTTAAATATTTAAACTATCTGTACATATTAAAATTGTATACGTATGAACAACATTAATCTATACTTTATTTACAATATGTAAGTATATAACAGATGTCATACCTATAATTATATCAAAGCAGTTGTTGTTTTCAAAATTATCATAAGTTACTTAACCTATACATTGAAACAAAATGTGCTAACAATTAGTATACAGTTTAATTGTGATTTTTGATTTAGAACAATATAAATATACATTTAATTACAAAATTATATAACACATGACATATACATAAATATTTCAAAGCAGTTGTTAACCATCAGTACAAAGTGAAACAAAATTCACAGACGAATATTACACGGTATAACTGCAGTGACTTTTTAGACTGGTGAAGATGAAGGTCTATATTATAAATTCTCTTTACAAGTCTCTTTTTTCGGTGATTATTTTTGCGGCGTTATCCTCGTAAGTTAGAAATCAGTTTTAATTGCATGTTAATTGATAAAATTTAATTTCAGTTCAATATCAATTTTTTCTACACATGGAAAAACGTATTTAAATTCAAAATATGAGATAGTTTATGGAGGACGCAAAGTTTTAAGTAAATATAAATTGAAAATTAGAATATAATATGGCATATTTAACAGTAAACACATCCAAAAATTTTAAATTATTAAGGTGAATAAACTCAGTTAATTATACTGAGACTTAACAAAATGTAAAATGATTTTGTCACGCTTGCGCCGAAAGTTTAATATTTTGATGTCAGTTGCGTTGGAAAATTACATTAAGTAAAGTTAATCTTTTATATCTTTTTTTTTACCCAACGGCTCAAAAAGTTATATTCTAAATCAGATAAATATATGTACCTGGTACATGGGCGATGGGCGTATCGACACGTTTTGTCTAATATATCAAATAATAGCCGGAAGAAGAGTTATTCATATTATGCTGTTCTATGAAACAATTAAGCAAATATAGACACTAAGAACGGAAAGAACGGTTCAGTATGAGTTAAAAAAATATTGATAGAGGAATTTTCTGTGGTGGGAGAGGTGTAACGAAAAAATTGTATGTTTGGCTGGCGTCGAAAGACAATTCAATAATGTACGAATTGCAGACCTCTCAAGTGGCTCTTCTTCTCCCACCATTCCACACAATAAATAATTTTTTTTAAATTAAATAAACAATAATAAATATATTAAATTCTACACAATTTTACAATCACAACAAGTTTTTTTAATTTTATCGAATTTATAAGTATAACTTTTGTTATTTATCTATATACGTAGGATTTTCATGCTCAAACACGAATTACGTATGTTATATCCTATTTTTTAAGTATGTTTTTCGAATGGTTTATTATTTCAGATATAGATGGAGTTACTATTTCAGGATTGAGAAGCTATAGGCTATTAACTGTTGATGAAAAATTAAAACTACGGGAGATAAAGGAAAAATATGATAAACAGAGAGAAAAGGAAAGGAAGAAGCAGGCAGAAGAAAGAGAAAGGGAACGAATATTACGTGAGGCTGAAAGGGAGAAGGAACGGATACAACGTGAAAAAGAGCGACAAATGCGTGAAGCGGAAAGAGAGATGGAGCGACAACAACGAGATGCGGAAAGAATACATCGTCAATTAGAAAGAGAAAAGGAGCAAAAATTACGGGAAGAAGAAAGAGAGATGGAGCGAAGACAACGTGAGAAAGAGAGACAACTACGAGAAGAAGAAAGGGAGAGGGAGCGAAGACAGCGCGATGCAGAAAGGGAAAAGGAGCAACGAAGACGTGAAGTTGAAAGGGAATTGCGTGATTTGGAAAAACAGAGGGAACAAAAACATCGTGAAGAAGAAAGAAGAAGGGAACAAATCCAACGTGAGAAAGAGCAACAAAATCGTGAGGCGGAAAGAGAGAAGGAGCGACAAAAACGCAATGCTGAAAGAGCACAGTACGAAGTGGAAAGGGAAATGCGTGATTTGGAAAGACAAAGGGAACAAAAAAAACGTGAAGACAGAACGAAATTGGGAACAGCAAATACGTGAAATGGAACAAAAACAACGCGAGGAATACAGAGAAATAGAGCAAAGACAACGCGAGGTGAAAAGAGAAATGGATCAGAAAAAACGAGATGCCGAAACAGCACAACGTGAAGCGAAAATAGCGCAACGTGAAGCGGAAAGAGCACTTCGAGAAGTGGAAATAGCACAACTTAAAACGAATGCACCGATAAGACAGAAACGGCGTACACTTAATAATATACAAAATACGCCACGCAATCGGAGAGTGGGTAAAAAAAATGTTACTCCCAAAAAATAAATAGTAATATTATACTTTAAGCTTAAATTAATTTATTAGCTGTGACTCAAACAAATCTTATACTAAAGCTATTTATTTGATCATGTAGTTCAATACCATTGTTAAGATTGCGTTGTGTTGGTCACTTCACTATTAATAAGATTCTGTAATCTATAATCACATAGTATACCTAGTACCTATGGCTTACATCATCACCCACAGCATAAACTTAATATTGAATTATCATTTAAAATCATAAATATTTAGTACTATAATTTGTTGTCATACATTATAAGGTATACTTGTACGTTTACTTATATTTTGGTGTAAAACTGTAAATTATCAACACATTACGATATTCAAAAATAATATGTTTTACTTTATATCTTAAGTTTATTTTGTATAATGTTTATATTTATTTAGGAATAAATGATAATCTACAGCAATCTAATAGTATCAAAATGCAATACTACGTAATTTATTTATTCCTATCACTTGACCACTAACTGCTACACATGTGCAATAACAATTATGTAACCATATTTGTACCTACTCAATTATGTATCTATACACTGTTTGAATGTAATTTGTTCAAGAAAATTAATGATCTGACATTATTATTTCCAATATAATTAACACAATTAATCGCATAGATTGTCAATATTATGAATGCGAATACATTGCAATGTCTGTTGTTTTCTTAAAAAGTAAAATAATTTTATTATATTATATTATATTTTAAATGGATACTGACATTATTAACATATATTTATACGGACATACCTACGGCAGCTACCCTACGATTCATTATAATTTTACTTAGCTAGCGCTCCTACCGTGGCACTGGATGTATTATGATAACAATAATAATAAGTCGATGAACCTGAATATATTATTACCTTAAGTTCACCGCTATACATATTATAGTCCGAGACACAAAAACTGGCCCTTGACCATTGGCGCAATTAGACATTTGAACTAGGGGGTGCTTAAGCTCCAGGTTTTTTTGTGATCCAATAAGACCTAACACCTAACGATTTTTTAGGGGGTGCTAATTTGACTTAGGGGGTACTAAGGACCAAATCACCCCCCTAGTTGCGCCAATGCCCGTGACCCCCCGCAACCCATAAGCCCATGACCTTATATTAATAGACTGGTCTAACCTATAGAGTAGCTGTGGTAGTAGCCGGTCAAACATACAACAGCGGTTTACAGGATAATCACATCAGTGTTGCCATTGTCTGTCGTTATCATTTTTTTTTCTTATGGGACTATTGTGGGACTGAAACTAATTATTATAGTATAAGGGTTATGCATGCGCCATACCACGCATGGAATCCATGGGTTCTCAAACTACACCAGTTACAGCAGTACAAGGTACACGTATTTTTAAGTTATGATGACCACTGACGAGAAACGGCCTCTGGGTTCATGACAATCATTGGCCAGTTTTCATAATATGCGGTTTTACCATAGACCTTAATGCCTTATACTCATAGACAGGAGCATGGTAGTAGTTCCCACGATGAACGTGAGTAGAGGTTCTCACGTTCTGCGAATGTACGTAGACCACGCCAGTTTGTGCATAGTTAAAAACAAAAACCGCATAAATACGTAATTATCGTAATATATCATGACTCGTGTATATTATACTCAGCTCTGTGCTCAAGCCAGAAGTTGCTGCGGTAAGTGCATCTATGCCACCCTGGTAGACATCCGACTAAGTCACACTGTGCGAAAGCACATCAAATATCGAATCTGGCACACCGATGAGCAGCTATAAGTGCTCAGCCACCTTAGTAGGCTATGTTAGAAAATTAAATTTGATACATGCTTGTTAAATAGCAACTATTTATTATTATTAAAATAAATAGCAAACATTAATAAAAAAAAATGTCCATCATAAATCTCAAACTCCCTGTTTAATCACCTCCACGGGTTAGCCCTAGCCCCTACCTGGTCCAATTGTGAATCTAAATCATCCAGGGAATCACTCAAACACACACAAACAATTTCATCAATATCGGTCCAGCCGCTTAGGAATGAATAAAGGACATACAGACAGACATTAATTTGTATACATATAGATTGCATACATGTCTGTCGTAATTGTATATATATTTTTATGTTATCTAGTATCTACTCACTTTGTTAATTTCACATCAACTATCATATTTATATATAAAGGTTGCACAATAAAAAAATTGGTTAATTTGATCAATTATTTTTTAGGGGTTTATTATCATTAATTTTGAATTTAAATAATAATGATCGTAATGCAATAATTAAGAATTAAAAATAGAATAAGCTAAGAAAAAATATATAAATATTTAAAGTATTTTTCAAGTAATAAAAATATTTTTCATGTGTATGGTTCTTGTTTCTACCATACTGACTACGAGTGTTAAATTATTATCATTTGCATTTTTAAAGTTATACCATATACCTACTAATATAGTATATACTCAAGACAAATAAATGTTAAATATGTTTACAATGGGCCATAAATCACAATTATTTTTTGTTTTATACTTAAATACGAGGGATAAAGAAATATGCAAATGGTTAAAAAATATGTTGTTTTTAATGATTTTTCACAGTTCAATTTTATATATTTTGGAGTAAAATGAATTGTTTTTAAGATTTGTTAAAATTTTTATCATACCTATTAAATGTAGAAATGCTAGATTTGATTTTGTCGTTGTAAATCTTTTTGTTTTTTGTTTACCATTTAAATACTGGACAATGCATGACCGTATTAGGACATAATATGCACTAATGGCACTGTGCCTACTGCCTAGGGGCTAGGCCACTAGTGGCTTAAAGCTCCGAATACTGTTAATAAGGGCCTGGTTGAACGTGAACAATAACACCTAAGACGTTATGGAATACATTATTTTAGCACCCTGACTTTACCCTTGTATACACATTACACCTATAAACTATATGTTAGTATAAAATCTAAAGAAAAAAATATTGAACGAAAATACTTGGCAAAGTTATTTGAATATATTATCAAATACAACTTACTAGTAATAATAGATGAAAGAAATCCATTAACATACTGCAGTGCTAGATATTCAATATTTCTAACAATATTAGTTTTATTGTTATATTATTACAACGACTGGTTATAATAATTTTACTTTTTTAAAAATACATAACGATAACACTTATATAATATAATTATTTCAAAGCAGTTGTCAACCATCAGCACATAGTGAAACAAAAAATTCACTAACAAGTGACAAATATTACACGGTATACTGCAGTGACTTTTTTGACTAGTGAACATGAAGCTCTATATTATAAATCCACTTTACACTTTTCTTTTTTCGGTGATTATTTTCACGGCGGCATCCTCGTAAAATAGAAATCAGTTTTAAATTACATATTGTTTGATAAAATGTATTGTTTGATACAGCTCTATATTGGTACTTGAAGAACCACTGGTGCACCAGTGTGAACAATATAGTTTAATATGTAAACCGTATGAATAAAGGCATCACATAAGAGTATAAGACACTGCACAGTGCACACACGAGAAACCAACAAAGTAATAAAATGTAATCTTCAAGAAACCACTGGCACGTTGAACCAAATTAATACTAACTCCTCCAATCTGGTGGTGGGTGACTTTTCTATGTTATAGAAATTATTTAGCTAGAATTATCGCAAGTGACGATGGTATAAATAGATCATCTAGTATGTAAAACTAGTTCACACTTGTTCCCCTTGTCTTCAAAAATTTTTTTAATGACTCGCGTGCACATATGGTTGCCTACCTTTTTCAGTGCAGCTTATCATCTCGTTTGTGACAGATTACAATTAATAACTATTGTATACGGATAATTTCAGATTGTTTACCGTCTTACCGATATCGGTGTGCACCACGGGCTAAGATATAATGGACTGGAAATGACATGGTCGGCGGGGATCGGGGGACGAAAAGATGTCACTTAGCTGATAAGTACTATACTGTTCTTGAAGTTTTCAGCTCTACCGGTGGTTTTATTTGGCTACACAATTTGTATCTTCGTCCGTGTTAAATATAGAGGGCACTGTGAACTCCAAGAACACATAGCGACCCCCCCCCCACTTTGCTTCTTGTACATACATTCGTGGCCGTGATAATAGCTGCTCGTTTCCAGTCCATTATATCTTAGTCCGTGGTGTACACAGATTCAGATGATAGAAATTAATATTACGAATCAATAGATTCAACTACAGAGCCTTTATATACAAGAGAGTGGCCAACTCGGTGAACATTTTCTATTGGCTGACCGTTATTATTGATACTGGACGCCATTTTCGTCCAAGTTTGTTTATATTTTACCAATGTCGAATACATTAATATTGTCAATTGCTATTTGTTTATACACGACAATTTAATTTTAATAATATATGTAACTATTAAAATTAACTTATCTATAATTATTTATTATTTACATGGTCTTGTTGTATAATTATATATATTACGTATTCACATTTTGTATTACAGACTATGGTTAATGGTTATGTATTATATAAGTTAAGATATAAATACACCTACCTAGTTAGTATACCCATATGGCATATCATATTATACAATTACTTATTATTTTAGTTGTTGGTGTGCAGTAAGCATATTTATTTTATATTTTATAAATTGACTAGTATATTATGTTATTTCCTATTTTATGCTTTTTAGATTTTAAAAATAAGAGGGAATTGTTTGGATGCAACATGGCTGCTATCTATCCAATTGGTCACTCTCTTATCATCTAGGCTCTCTAGATTCAATTATCACGCAGCCACTGCATCCTTCGGCTGGATACGGCTAAGCCAAACCGCATAAGCCCTGTTTGAACTTATGACCTCCCCCCCCCCTCAACCAGCTGGCAGTGGTGGAAAATAGGATCGAGTTCATGAAGCTGACCATCAACGACCAGGCTACTCCCCCCCACAATCATTGGGGGGAGGGAGTATTTCGGGGTCGTTATCGTCGTCCCCGAGAGCTCGACCGACAACCGATCTGGCCGCCGGGCTGGCCCAACGATCTACGTTCCCGATGGATGAGAAATTAGAATACACTACAATAATTGCAAATATTATTGTAGTTAGATGAAAAAAATTATTTTCTATTTTTAAGCACTTTAAACCTACCTACCAAAATGTATCTGTGTCTAAAAATAGTTTATTATTGTGAAATATTAATAAAAAGAAAAAAACTAGAAAGAGTAAAACTTAACTGTCGCGATTTCCAACAATAATAGTTTAATAATAAAAATGACAATAATAGCTGGTATTCTACTTTCTGGTAAAGTTTACATATTATGAAAGATTGAAAGTTACAACTTAATAATATTAGATACGGGTCTTCATTTATTGATTATTATTATTATATATTTTACTAATAAGTAATAACTGTCATGTTGACATTGTTGGCTACTTTCATCATTCTGTTACATCTTACTGCATCGTTCATGAGTCACCTCCCACACCATCGACTTCTGTTATATTGTTCGGTTCCGGCATTTCTTTAACAATAAATTTCTTACGTCTTATAGTTTTCTGTGGGACTTTATTTTCATTTGTTAAGTCTTTAGGTCGTTGCTCTTCTTCTCCTTTGATCAATTTCTCCAAATCATTTTCACGATCCTCTAATCTTTTCATTTTTATCTCCTCCAGTTTGGTTAATTTGTCATTTGCTTTCTTTAATTGCTCTCTAAGAGTTATTCTTTCTTGAAGCGTCAATGTTTTCACAATGACTAATTTCAATCCTTTGGTATAACCATTCACAATTCCTATAAATATTAGAAATAATAATATATAATATGTTAATTTTCAGTTGGTTGGTAAATAGATAGATTTCAAAACTAAAAACTTAAGCATATAATATTTCACAGAGTATAATGCTATTGATGCATTGTTATACGTGTTGCGGATTTTTCTACTACCTATGGCTACTTACCAAAACGAATGTATAAATAATTGAATTTATTGAATCATTGTGATAAAAGATCCTATTATATTATTATAAACATAAGTCATAACTCAAATAAACACAATGTAACAAACAAATTTAAAGTTTTTTATTATATAGGTAGACATCATTAAAATTTCTCTTATAATATGGTCGCTATTATAAAAACATAAACGCATTTATAATACCTAAATGTTGATCAAATTGCAATAAAATAAATCGATGGTGAAACGACAAAAGGGTCTAAGCGACATAATTCATTATTTTTAGGAGAGCCGAAAAACTTTTTTTTGTGATTTTAATCATTTTTTTTTTTTCTAAATAAGCTATAACTTTTTTACAGTAAGAATAGGGTATTATTTTGTAGAATATTTTTTTTTTTGTTTATATCTCCTTCATGTGTATTCATATTTTTAATAAGTTTTTGATTATTATTTACGTGCATACGGCAATTTGAAAAAAATTGTTCAATATTTTGGCACTTATGCCCTATTTTTTTTTTTACACTATTTATCTACGGCGCTTATGCCCTAATTTTTTTCTACATTTGCCTGTGCATTTATCGAGATTGTATTATTGTAATTATTTATAGTGATTACTATTTTTATTTCAGACCAATAAAATAATATTAAAATATCACGTCATTTTCACATGTTTTTTTTTTAAATAAGGTGTACACAAATATTTTCCGCAAAAAAAAATATGAATCTTTATTAAAATATTATTATGATGAAAATAACGAAAAAAAAATTGTAATTCTTTAGAACATAACATAAAATTTAACCTTTTCTTCAAACTTAATTGAAAACAAATAATAAAAAATAACTTATTTCTAGACTTGACTTTGTACTTAAATCTATAAATCAATGGTTAAAATAAAAAATTACTTACATTTTTAATCATTAAAATAAACAATCACTATTCCTTTGTTAACACTTAGGTAAAAATTGAATAAATGAAATAAATGATCTAGTCTGAGTCGTACAAATTCATGTACAATAACACCACGCATAAACGTCGCTTGTCCCCTAAAATATTGTGCTAATGTCGTTTATTCCCTATTGTTGTCGTTTAGACCCTTTATTACAGAAGACAAATATATAAAGTGTCGTTTAGACCCCAAATTTAAAATTCAAATATTCGTTGTTATAATGGTCACAGCTGATTTTGCGCACGCGCAATGGACGTAATATATATTTTTCTATCCAATAGTATAAGCCGTGTCGCTTAGACCCAAAGTGTCGCTTAGACCCTTTTGCCGTGTCACCATCGAAATAGTAAATATTTTTATATAGATTCTTCTGAATGGTATTTAATCTATGATTTTAGTAAATATACCTACCGACAAATTGTATAAATTATTAAATTGAAATGTATGTAAATATGTAATTACATATTTATATATTAATATTAATTAATTTAATTAATAGCATTTAAAACAGTAATTTTGGCATGGATATATATATACATGGTATACTCAACGTGTTTACGATTAAATATACCTAAGATGTATCATTCTATAATGCTTATATGTATATATTAAATACATTATACACATATTTAATTTTTTTAGTAAATAAACCCGGTAGATAGGCACCTACATGTACGGCTATACTCAGTTATTCAAGTACCTATAGTTAAAATAAATAACATTATAATATATAAATACCATCTTCTATATTGCCATTATAAGGTGCTTCGACTATGTGCTGACCATTCAAATATGTTATTCCTCCAAAAGTTACTAGAGAAATTCTAAAAATTTAAATAACTTATACTTTAATATTACGAAAATAATAAATTAATAAATAATAATATTTTTACTTACTTCGAGGACACAAATGGGGGTAAAATAATACTAACTAAGCATAAGTATACCGCGAACATTTTGTAAATAATTTCAACAAACCTAAATAAAAGAATAAAGGAATAAGTTTACTAACGTCAGTAGTTTCACAAAAATATATACCTATTTACTATTAAATCCGAATACCTATATAGGATTATAGTGTTTATGAATAATAATTATTTCTACAAATGTTTGAAATTCTCTATTCATATTCAAAATTAAATACCCATGAACGGTTCTACATAATTGCATTCAATTTTGGCGAATATTGTCTTTATTTGAACGAAAAATATGTTTATACAATGCATTGCTATTATATTCCAACATTTCATGAGCAAATAACCATAAATTATACTAATAGAAATATATTGATAGTTGATACTGTAATAGTGTAATACTCTATACTGTAATGCCTTGTAGTTAATATTTATTTTCATAACATTATTCTAATAATTATTATGTATCACATTCATACATTTGTATATTATAGCCTATAGGTAGCTTTCAACCAGTGTTGGGTAAGTTACTTTTAAAAAGTAATTAAGTTACTTAACTCGTTACTCAAATAAAATTTTAATGAAATTACTTTACTTTTCAAATAGAAAAGTAACTCATTACTTTCTCGTAACAAAAAAAAAAAATTGTAATTTCTTGGCAATTATCTTCTGAAGGCAAATTGAACAAGCAAATTCTTTATAAAACCTGTATAGTTAATAGGATCGTATAAAACTTAGTCTTCCACACAAGCTATTCATAGGAAACCTATTTAAAGGAATCAAATTAAATAATAAATATAATTAACTGTTCTCGTGACTTAGGTGCAATTGGACATTTCAAATTTCATTGAAAAATGAATTTGTGGTGAGTTAAGATTAAATATATATAGAGTATATACATATTATATTGGTGAACATAATAATACCAGCTTTATACATATATTGTTTTTCAATTCGCAAAAGGTAGGTAGGTACTTAATAATTGGAAACTGTACCGAGTTATTTTATAGAAATTACTTTTCAAAAGTAATTTCCATTACTTTTTCGTTACTTGGAAATAATTCTTATGAAATTACGGAACGCGTTCCAAGCAAAGTAACGCTTTACTTCGTTACGTTACTACCCAACACTGCTTTCAACTAACCATTTTCCACTATACCTTTAACTATAATTAGGTATATTATAGTCTAATTATCGTTGTGACAGTTGTGAACGATAATTTACTTAAAACACTCTACATCCACATGTTTATTTAATATTTTATTAAACAAAAAATCATATTATAGATGCAAAAAATAGATTAAATAAATAAATGATTAAATAGAGATTAATGTAATATTTTTGTGGACTGAAGTGTTGCCAAAATTCAATACTGTACTTACGTCCTGCCTAATATTGGACACAACACTAAAATAAAATAAATTAGTTTTGCCGTACACATTTGCCGCCGAACGGTAACCTTTTTCTCTTTGAGGGGAATACGTTTTAGACCAATAAGCGGTGGTAAATTACACATTCTTTTGAATGTCCCATCTTATTTGTTTATTCGTGACGTATGAATTCTTTGAAAAAATATTTAGGCTTTATAGGTAGTCGTTTTTCAATTTTCAATTTTAAAAGACCTTAAAGTTAAGAATTTATTTTCGAAAATCCCATGAAATAATTGCTTTACTTATGTATTTATTTTGGGCACAACTGATTTTAAATGAAAAAAGTGATTCATAAAGAGCTTAGTCTAGAAGCTCATAAATCAAACAATTTTTCGAAATTACAATCGAACTTCAGGAAGTATGTTTAGTTTACTACCGGTTTTAGTAGTTTTTAATTTTTTATAGTTATGCAAGCTAGAATATTTTCACGAATTATAGACATGTGAGACGAGAGTCACATCTGGCGGCGGTTTTCCGACGTGGCATTACAGCGATTTTCTGAAACACACACTAATGTTAATTTACTACTCACACACAGCCCAAATGTCATGTGAATTGCCTAAATATAACTCCTTAAAACATGACACGCTGGAGACCCCTTAATACGGACGACTAGATAGTAATTTAGTGCAGCCTTTCGACCATCGACTAATAATCAAAATAACTAAGGGAATTCAAAAATATTATGCATAAATTATGTATGCGTATAGAGTATTCTATGTTAGATATGGATGGACCAAAAGTGTTACCCAAGTGTTTGGTAAACACTATTTATAGTATAATTATAGTATCTATATACTATCTTTAGAGTAGCTTATGACTTTGGTTTTATAATTAGCGAATCGATTAAAAAATATCCAATGGCCCGTACTACCCATGTCGGTACTACTATTGGGCGTTGTATACTTGTCGAATATGACAATGATAATCATTCCTTGGACAATAATGGACATTGATCTATTGCGCAACACTCAGGTATTTATATTTCATATTAAAATTTAAGTACCCACATAATATTATCCACAAGTGATTTATTCGTGCATAATATAATTTGTAAACATAACTTTATATTCTGGTTAAATATAACAGGTCTGTCATATAAAATCTAGCCTATAATAAAGAATTTCAAAATAAATTTGATTGTATGATTATGTACAGTTTTAACTATTTGCAAGTGGTCTAAATATTTAATTATGCTACTCAAGATATATAGGTATTACCATTGATTATAAATACTATAATATAATATACTACACTATATTATAGAATTCATAAATTATAACCAATGGTATTACTATAAACGTAGCTGTACGTTTTACGTAGCGTTTTCGTGGTTCGAGGTTCGTCGTTTCTTGATATTTACAAACAACACTCTACACGGTGCACACTAAAAAATGTGAATTCGTGATTAGAAAATAACGCAACAAACTGCACAACCTTAATAAATGGTAGGTACTTATATACATGATATTAATCATAGGTATTAATTTCCGACAAGACGTTATACAACAAGATATAATATACTTACCTACATATTATTATTATGACATATTAATTTTGCTTTCGCGTATGAATTGTATTTGAATTGCATATATAAATCGCCGTCTAACAAAATATTTATATCAAAAGCAAAATAAGTACTCATATTTTAAATTCTGGGTAGCGATGAATGTATTGATATTACAATGATGTGTCTGTTTTAGATTCTGAGCGGAATGATTAATGTATTAATTTTACAATTATGAGTGTTTTTTTTTGTCTGTCGTCACCTTTCAGAACAGTAAAAATGCTTTGATTTTCTTAAACAGCATCTTTTCTGGTGGAAAAGTGAATCTAGTTGGTACTTTGGGGTATAAAAAGTAAATAATTGGCAGTATATTTCCAAAAACGTCTTGAAAAACTAAAAACAAAATCAAGGAAAATCGGTTTTTCTAATGCAAAACAGTTTGGTGTAACTAAAAAACCAATAACCGTTAAACCTTAATTTTAAATTTAAACCAAATGTTTATATGCCAGGAATGATAAAGTTGTAAAACAAGGTTTTACAATATAAATAAAATGTTGTAGTTGAAAATTCATAAAATGTTCAACTTCTTCAGCAAAGTTTTTGAATTTAAGACAAGGTTTCTTATAAGCATTTCATAGTTCATACTGTAACCAAGCATATCTAAATATTATATAAACTCAGTTTTTTTTCAAAAAATATTGTAAGTTTAAATTTGGACGAAATTAGTTATTTAAACGGAGAATAAAAACTTGTTGAAAGTTAAAAATATTATTCGTGGGTACATGAAACTTTTAAAGTATATTATTATATTTTATACTATGCTAAATGTAATTTTAAAATGCAATTTTTCGGAAAAAGTGTATTCAATTTATTGTAATACTAATGGTAAAATAAATTACTTTAACAGCAATAATATCATAAAATATAGTTTGTAGTTAGTAATATTGGCTGAATATATACGCTCAGAATCGTTTTTCGTATACTATGACTTTATATCATTGAATTCAAATTGAACACATCCATTACTAATTACTATGACCCAGCCCATTTATTTCTCTGACAATTTGAAACCTCCCCAGATATTTCGGTTTTGTGTAAATAATCTCCAAGACAGTATCAGTTTCAATTTACAACTTACAATAATTGCTGATAGGTAGTTATTACTTATTATATTGTCAATTGTTTCTATTATGTTGTAAAATAGATATACATCAATAATATTGTTTAATAAATACATTATAAAATCTTAAGATTTGCGAGTTAATTTAATTTGATATTAAATAGTTGCTATCTTAGATATAATTTATTATTGTTGGTTTTTATTTAAAACTACAACCGTAAATATATTGAAGATATAATATAAGGAATCGTTGATTTACCATTACTTTCCAGTTTATAATATTAATGCAACACTATTCTGGGCCAAGGTGATCAAAGTAACACAAGTGCCCAATGGGCAATGGCCAACACCATGTTCAACTTTTTTTACATTATTTGTTTGTAAGTTGCTACACAATAAATAAAAACAAATAATCTATAATATTATAAGTTAAATTATGAATGATAATTAATAAATTATTAATCAAAACAAAATTAATTGTTTTATTTTTAACCATCAACAAAAAGTTCTCATAGATAAAATAATAATAAATTACCTAACTATGTATTGTTTATTAGTTTAATGTTTAATTCAATACATTTTTATCAACTTTTTAACTCTTGTTCGTCAAAAAAAATTCAGTGATAATTACGTAATACTTGTTGAGCAATTATTACAAAAATATTTTCATGGACGTCATAATAACTTATCATAATACGTACTAAAATATTTAAATAAACTCGATAGGCGATAACATACCTGCAAATTACGAAAAATACGTTATGATGTCTATCTTGTATCAATGAAACATTAAAACAAATAAGTTTAAAAAAGCATATCCGTCAACGTTAGCAATAACAATATTATCAACCTACTCAATTTGCGTCGGCACGTTTATCAGAGGTCTATAAAGGTCAAAAATGATTTTTATATGCGTAATAACATTACATTATTCCAAAAATATAAGTTTTAACTAGGATAGCGATGGAAAATAGTTTTTCAAATT